AAGAGAAAATCTATGAGCACAATCATAAATCCATGTGATCATGTTATTGACGACGATGACAGCTATATTGTTCCTATAAAGAGCAAAAGACAACGCATTTTGAGTACTTCGGAGGATAGTGATAGTGATTCATCGCATCAAAGTCCACTGAAGAGTGTACGAATTGCTGAGGACGTTTCTACTCAACGTGATTCTCTCGAGTATGGCGAAGAATCTGGTTCGCGATGTAACTTTTCTAGCCAGAGTAAACCCATCGAATACTTTGAACTATTCTTTGATTCGACACTGTGGTCACTAATAGTTGAAGAAACTAATAAATATTCGGATTATTCAAGGTCTTTATCTAGAGAATTGGAATCATTTGAAACACAGGTTTGGGCACCAGTTACTGCGTTAGAGATGAAGGCGTTTATAGCAGTGTTGCTGGAAATGAGAATTACAAGAAGACCCAATATACGTTCGTATTGGTCCCAAAATTCACGTACCATACCGTGGTTCCGAAGAATGTTCTCTCGAAATAGATTTCAACAAATTTTGAAATATTTTCATTTAGTTGATAACTCTTTATGTTTTCCACCTAGTCACGAGAAATACGATCCCTGTGTAAAATTTAAGCCACTTGTTGAACACGCTAATAGAGTATTTAAATTACATTATAAACCACATAAAGAATTATCAATTGATGAGTCCTTAATAGGGACGCTGTGTCATTCTAGCATAACGCAATACTTGCCAAATGAAAAACATCATCCTTGGGGGATAAAATTATGGATGCTGTGTGATTCAGTTTCAAAATATTGTTTGACGTTTCATTGCTATAAAGGTGCAAAAGAAGCAACTACTAGTGATGGGAAAAAGTTTGGACTTGCATATGAAGTTGTCGTAAATTTATTAAAAGATAGTAATTGTTTAAACAAGGGGCATCACATTTTTGTCGACAAATTTTTCACTAGCATTGAATTAGCTAAATATTTATATTCTATGGATACCTATTTAACTGGAATTATTGGAAGAAATAAGAAATGTATTCCCGAAAACTTGAAAGAAGCTAATGTAAATGAAGTAAAGTATTTTCGAGACAATGAAGTATTGTTCTGTGCGTATCGCGAAAGAAAAAATGTGAAAAATCCTGTATTATTAATTTCAACAAAAGCAGTAGACCAAAATGTGACTATAACAAGAAATCGACATGGCAGAGAAATACGTTTGACAAAACCAGCTATTATTCAATCTTACAATGCCTTCATGGGTGGTGTCGATGAATCGGATAAAATGCTGTATACCTATCTCGATGAACGAAGATCAGTTAAATGTTGGAAACAGGTAGCCTTTAACATAATCAGCCGCATGGTTTTAAATGCATATATAATATATAAGGAAAGAATTACGAGTAAAGCAATGAATCGGTTAGATTTTATTTCGAATATTATTTTTGAAATTGAGTGTGAGTGGATGAATGAAAAGAAAGCACGTGGTTATGTAAAGGAAAAAGCATTTGGTTTAGTAAAGTTGCCGCAACGTAACTTGCGACAATGCGTAGTCTGCAGCACCAAAAATGCCATAAAAAGATCACATTTAATTTGTGCGCAATGTAAAAAAGGAATTCATCCAACGTGTTTTGATAAACACCGATGTTACAAATTGTAAGTGTTCCTCTCCGTTTAAATTGTTTGTACATAACGCAAAAATATTTTTAATTTGTAATTCGTTATTTTATGAAATACATCTGTATTATTACATATGCGTACTGTAAGTTTATAAATATTTCAAGTTTTGTTCGATAAAAATTATTGGGAAGATAACAATGAAATACAAAATGTTTTATTTTGTAATGTATTATTGCGCTATTATTATAGTATTGTACCTATTGTAAAATATATTATTTACATTAAAAGGAGCTGTGTGATGTGCTTGCGTCAGTAAATCTGAACGCGCGACTTCGACAGTCGGTGACGCATCGTTAGTTGTCCACAACGATCGAATTGTGCCGACTTTGCACGACATAAAATTTGAACAGCGCGATCGCGCTGCTTGGGACACAACGGTTAACCCTTTGTACTCGACGATTTTTTCGTTACAGGAAAATAATAATTTGAAGACTTTCTGCTATAAGGTCGCCGATATTTTTGAAACGATAAATAAGAAATCGTATGCAATTTAAGATTTAGAATTATTTTACTTCGATATTCCACGCGTCGTTAGGTAATTGTAAATTTGATATATTAATTAACATTCATCTTTAGAATCTGATTAAATGGTGACTGAGAGGCGCCTCTCGAGTGTAAAGGGTTAAAAATGGAGTGCTACGTAAAAGAACAACGTGTCTTCATTGTTCAATAATATTTTAAAAATAATGAAAGTTTGGCAGCTACAGTTCGTAATTTTCTTCAGTGATGAAGCTCATTTTCATCTTGATGACTTCGTTAATCAAGAAAATTATCGCATTTCGGGTTTAGAAAATCTACGAGAGTAAATATGCAGTTTAGTGACTTTGCTCTAAACGCGTTCTTTTTTCCGGTTTTTCCATAAAAGGCTTTATTTGTGCCTCGATAAGAAATATAGATCGGGGAGCTTGGAAAAGTAATGTGCTTTTACTAGTTTTTTGACAAAAAACATAAAATTGTTAAAAAATACAGAATGCGTGGGTCGATCCCTATGATTTTTGAACATGTTATAGAGGACGAGATTCTGAACAACTTTTATCTGAACAATAATTTTCGTTTGGCCTTAATTTCCAAGATATTTGCAAAAATTGTTTATACAATTGTTAGTTCCTAGCTGATCGATGAAAGCCAAGCTTTCTGCACAAGGTCAGGCTGCACAAGGAAGTGACGACTAGTAATGTTACAAATACAATAAAATCACCTAAAGAGTACGTATAATAGCGTATTAATTCTTTGCACTTGGTGATTTTTTCATTGCAGAAAAATAGTAATTCGAAGACTTTCCGCCATAAAGTCGACGATATTTCTAAAATGGCAAATAAGGAATCGTGTACAAATTAAGACGTAGAATTATTTCATTTCGATATTCCACGCATCATTGGGTAATTTTAAATTTAACCCATTTGCATCCAAGCGCGGAATATTCCGCGAGCCGGGATTGTCGTCTATCACCGAGCACGGAATATTCCGCGAGCTACGACTGTCGTCTATCACTGAGCGCGGAATATTCCGCGAGCCGGGACTGTCGTCTATCACCGAGCGCGGAATATTCCGCGAGGTACGACAGCCACCTATCACCGAGCGCGGAATAATCCGCAAGCTGACTTTTTCATTACCAGTTGCTGAATATTCTTCATATGCCACAGATCACGTTTGATCCCTTTTGTGAGTATCTCATCTACATCGGTACATTATATTCTTAACAAGTTTTACTTTTGTTGCGAAAATCCTTTTAACTGCCATTATGAGTAGGTACTGATACGCGCGCGGTGATATGGGCTAGTCGTCAGTTGAACGTTGCTAATGCCTGAATACGGCACCTTAAGTAGAGCCATGATGCAAATAGGTTAATATATTTGTGGGAGGTCCTCCCCCACCGTTGTTGATGTCCGCTTGTCGCAGGTATCCTCGATGTAGCGGTAGTGCTAGAAGGGACGAAAGGAAAAGGAAGGAATGAGCGTTTCGTCTCGGGCCTGCAAGTGGACTCGTCAATAAGGCTTTTCTAACAGGCCCTGCCTTAACCCTTAGAATGCGAATGACTCTCTGCCAAAGCGCTTCAGAGGGACTGTGCGTGCTTAGCGCTTACTATCACTGTGTTATGGAATACTTTTCGCTCGTGCGAGCTCTGTTGATTAACTGTTCAAGGCACAACTAACAAGTTATTATTGTAATTCTTTTGCAGCAGGTTAAATAATAAAAGAACGTTATCTTCAAGCATCAATTATCTATTAAAATCAGTAAAATTTACAATACAACTTAACATAAAAATAAAGAATAAAAACTAAACGCAATAAATATAACAAAAATTAATAGTTTATTTAGACATTTAATAGACAACGTGTAATATAACAATCGTGAACAAATTGTATACTAACAAAATTATATTGTCACTATATTGTTAATACATTACTAATGATACTCAGAACAGATATACTAAAGAATAAACCCGTCCTCGCGTCTATTCTTTCTTCTATCATTTAGAGATTCACTGTATTCAAAAGATAATTAATAATTGTTTCGTGAAATTTTAAAATTTTAATACTTTTAATACCCTATTTTCTGTGTATATAACATGCATTTACGAGGCATGTCCCGCATATTAATTCTATTACAATTTTCCTGTAACATTTTACGGTTCTACGCAAATAACTATAATATGATGACATCTGATCCGATAAATCAACCCCCTTTTTAGCTACATTATAAAAAAAGCAGTGTCTGGCTTTAATTTGCTATGTTTCCCCCAAACTATTATACATCTGTGATTTTTTGAAGTAGGTAACATACGTACTGGTGTTGGATGACTAACGATTCGTTGGCCCTTAGTCACTAGAAGGGCCTGGCTGATAAACGCAGATCAATTTCAGAGTCCAAAAACAATTGACTCATTCCTACTTTCACTAAGGGCCAATGGTCATCTTCACTCCACCAAAAACTAACATTATATAAGCACACACAAAATTTGCGAAAAGTCAGTTTCAGTTTAGTTTTTTCCTCTCCGCCGACTTGTATTTTTCCAACGTAGCCTTGTTGCTAGAACCCGTGTTGTATATTGAAATCCGGGTTCCAACACTTATGCCGTTTGTCCGGAATATATTGGCGAAAACTAAGGCGTGCTCTCCACGGAACCATGGTTTCGTCAATTACAATATTTTTACCAGGTTTTACAGTGTTCTTAAACGTGTGCACAATTGCATCAACGATATTTCTCAGTTCATACAAACGGTTCTCAGTTCTAGCGGTGGAATTATCGGAAAAATGTAAATATTTCAGTATTGATATAAACTGATCGCGTTTCATCACGTGTCCGTTCTTCATTTACATGTCCGTTTACGATCAATATAATCTAATTTCAGGTAGCCGCACTACACCCATGATAAGCAGGATACCAATAAAAGTGTTCACTTCTTCTTTTGTAACAGGCTTCCAGGCCTGTTGGTGTCTTCTGCTGCTGGATGCAGAGTTGTTCGTGCATTCTACAGCATATTTATTCGTTTCCTCAACGATCATTGCTAATATATAGTCTGTGACGAATAACTTATACGAGGAAACAGGATCGTCGCAGTCCACGTCATAAATTAACAATTCTTCTTCTTCCGAACACTCATTCGTGGCTGCACCTCCTTCGTTTATTTCCTGCCATCCGTCATCAAGATCTTCTTCCTCTAAATCCAAGTCGAAATCTTCTTCCGTGGTATTTTCGTCCAGTTCGTTAGCTAACCGTTCACTGTCATTGCTTGCCTCGTCTGAAGAGGTTGAGAGTGTGGGGGTCCTCCCCACCATCATTGGAAGTCAGCTGGTCGCAGTATCCCTCGGTGACGGCGTAGCTAGAAGGGACGGTAGGAAAAGGAAGGGATGCGTTTCGTCCCGGGCCTGCTAGCGGACCGCGGACCCATCAGTAAGGCTACCCTAGCAGGCCCTGCCTTAGACACTGGGATACTATTGGAAGGAGGGAAAGTTATATATATAGGATACCAAAAGAAATCGCGAATCGGCTATTGCCAACAAAAACAAATTGTAAACCGATCGATATCTTCTAGAAGCAAATCGAAAAGTTATTCTATATAACAAAATTAAGTTGCGCGACTCCTCTACGGGGAGGTGAAGCGTAGGTTAAGGAAAGCATAAAAGCGTGGTCCTTGACAACCAAAACAGAGTCCTTAGAAATCGGTTGTGACCAGCACAAGCGTGAGTCGCTTGGTGTTGGAAAGAGAGTTTTAACAGAGTGCGTCTTTGTGTGTTTTCGTCATCTTGGTGTTCTTTTCCTAAGTTAAATCAGTTTACGAGTTTTGAGTTTGTGTTATCGTGTTCTTGTTCTTTCATGAATTTTCGGTGTCTCAAGACCAGTTTCGCCATCCTACATATATATATTGGATTTAGAGGTCTTCCGAGGACTTGCGAAAAAGTCCTCGAAGTCGGAATCCACCTAGCAGTGAGAGTGAGTTTGATGGTCGCTAGAAGTTCAGGGGTACACTCGAGTTGGATGACTAACGATTCGTTGGCCCTTAGTCACTAGAAGGACCTGGCTGATAAACGCAGGCCAATTTCAAAGTCCAAAAACAATTGACTCATTCCCATTTTCTCTAAGGGTCAATGGTCATCTTCACCCCGCCAGAAACTAACATTATATAAGCACCCACAAAATTTGCGAAAAGTCAGTTTCAATACAGTTTTCAGTTCAGTAGTCAGTTCAGTCAGTTCCAGTTTCAATTTCTGTTTTGTTTTTTCCTCTTCGCCGACTTGTATTTTTCTAACGTAGCCTTGTTGCTAGAACCCGTGTTGTATATTGAAATCCGGATTCCAACACTTGTGTCACTGATACATTGGTAACAGATTTCGAACCAATGGTCATCTTCACCCTGCCAAAAACTAACATTAGATAAGCACCCACAAAATTTGCGAAAAGTCAGTTTCAATACAGTTTTCAGTTCAGTAGTCAGTTCAGTCAGTTCCAGTTTCAATTTCTGTTTTGTTTTTTCCTCTTCGCCGACTTGTATTTTTCTAACGTAGCCTTGTTGCTAGAACCCGTGTTGTATATTGAAATCCGGATTCCAACACTTGTGTCACTGATACATTGGTAACAGATTTCGAGTAACCGTTCCGATATCACTTTTACCTGCATGACCTATTCGAATTGCCCACGGTCCATCCTGGCTACAGACATTGGAGGGAGGAATACGACGCCGGCCATAGCTGGCATTAGGAACGAAGAGGTTAATATCGCGCCATAGATCTTGTACACCGAATTCAAAAATTCTTGGTAATTCGAAACCTCGTCTGATTTTCTCGTTTTATACCTGAATATAAATATTTGTAGCAATAGAGCAAAAAGAAGTCACCGGCATAAACAGTAGTAGCCTCGTTTTTCTATGACGAACCCAAACTATTATTTACCAAAAGGCCACCATTCCCCTTCCTCCGCCGTTTCAATGATCGTGAGCTAATAAACTTCAGAGTCTAGTGCCAAAAAACCGTGGTCCTCGTCTGTCCCCTTGCCGTCGTCAAAATATTTATTTAATGCCACGAGTAATGTACTGAACCTAACGTGCCGTGGACACCATTGCTGGCTTCCCCAGAGCCAAGCAGAACATACTAGAGCACAGTAAATGGCAGAAACCCAAAGAATAGCAGTGCATAGCACAAAAGTGAAAGATATCCAAACATAACCTGGATTAACCTAAACTAACCAAACGTAGCCTAACTCAACGTAACGTGCCAAGACCATTATTGCTGCCCTCCCCAGAGCGAAGCAGAACATACTAGAGCACAGTAGAGCGCAGAAATCCACAGAATAGCAGTGTATAGCACAAAAGTCAAAGCTATCCTTTCCTAACCTAACAAAACGTAAAATAACCAAACGTAACTTAACACAACCTAACGTGACGAGACATCTATTGTTGCCCTTCTCAGAGACAAGCAGAACATATTAGATGATAGTAGAGCGCAGAAATCCATAGAATCGCAGTGTATAGCACAAAAGTCAAAGCTACCCTATCCGAATCTAACCACACGTAACATAAACGAACGTATCCGAACTCAACCTAACGTGCCGAGGACACCATTGCTGGCCTCCCCAGAACCAAGCAGAACATACTAGAGCACACTAGAGCGGGAAAATCCATAGAATCGCAGTGTATAGCACAAATGTCAAAGCTATCCTATCCTAACCTAACCAATCGTAACAATACCAAACGTAACATAGCTGTACCTAACGTGCCGCGAAATATTTTTTTAATGTCAGTCAAACCGAGTCATAGGTAGTGCGAAACTCTTGAGCAATTGCATATTTTAATATTCAGACAAAAATAAATTTGGTGAATTCAAATGCCTTCTACGATTAATTCTACATATTATTCCTTTTCCCAGCAAACTGGAATGCCTTCGACTTTACAAATTTTTTCCATTACTTCTATTAACCCTTTCGCGACGAGTGATGTATATATACGACAGTCACTTATTGTTTCACAGCGGCTGACGCCGATAATTTACGGCAGCCATTCATTGGTTTTCAGTGGCTGATGTCGTCTATATACGGCAAATCATAATTATATTAATGTATTATTAATACATATATATGTAGTATGTCGTAGTACGGGGGAGTATATTAGAGTTCGTAGCAGAGAGTTGTGGAAAAGAAGTTGTTAGTTGTAATGGTGTTATTAGTTGTATTCGTGTTGTTAAGTGTAAACGTGTTGGTAGGTATAATTGTGTCGTTGTAGTCGTAAGAGTTTAGTTGGTAGATTATATTCGTAGTCTTTACCGCCACCGCACATTGTATATTATATTTTATGGTTAATAAATAGCAATTATATTATTTAACACCACCCTATCCCTATATATATGTATTATTAATATGTAAACTTAATAATTACTAATAATATATGTATATGTATCTGGGATTGGAATGACGGCCCTGAAAGAGTGGCAGGTGTGTCTGGACCCAGAACGAAAGAGACCGCGCGCAAGAGTATCGATTTCAATGCATGTTTATGTTAGAGGGAAAGATTAGAGATGCTTGCAGAGTGTTTGAAGTACCGCGCCCTCCGAGGTTGCGTAAGAAAGAAGTATGATTGCGAAGGAAAGCCTGGGTATGGAAAAGAACAGAGTGAATGCTTAAATAAGGGTGCCAGGGCGCGGGCAGCAACAGTCCTT